GTTGAATGCTTAATCCTTTCTTTCTCAGCAGCTGGTAATGAAGGCCAGTAGAGATGATTTTGAGAGCTGTGTATTTGAGAACAAATACAAAAATATTCTTAAACACATGCTTTCGAAGGATGAAAAATAATTGCTTTGTATTAGGTTTTAAATGTTATATGCAGCCTTTAGTTGATGAAAGGTCACTCTTTATGAAGAAACTAGAAAATTTGAAGTAAATTTAGTGTCATGTTTCCTTCTAAACACTGAGCATAAAATGATGTGACCGTCAACATACATAATTTCAAATCATAATATTTATAAGTTAGTTTATACTATTTTGAATGTGTCTGCCTAAGCTATAAACACTGAATTGTTAGTTATGCTTTCATTTTCTCTTCCTAAAAGTGACCTCATTATTTGAAAGAATGAGTATTGCTTGTGTTAAGAGGGGCCAGGATAAATTGAATCGCTGTTCATAAATGTATGTGAAAACATGGCCTGAAAAAGTCTGTGATCTCTTTATGTTAGAAAATGATAGGAATGCCATCCTATTTTCTTCCTCTGTTCTTAGATGACTAGTTAGTTGTGTGCATGGGAGGGGGTAATTGAAGGGGTATTTTCTGTATAAGACCTTTAGACACGCAACTTGAGTATATGTGGCAAGCTTAGCTAATTTAAAAGTTGCATGAAGTACTCTAGGTTTTTGTTACATGTCTGAGGTTAAGCATCCTGCTACCTCTCCGAGTTCCCTAGAAGAAAATACCTCACTAAGACCTGCATTTTCTTCTCCCCTCCCCTTCTGCTTTCTGTTTTTTAGAGGGAAAAACCTTTCCGAATTAAGTCAATTGATTGTAGATCACACTTGTGTCTTGATATAATGACAACTAGAAAAACAAAGTTATTTTTCTTTTCAACTTGTGTAATACAGCATGAGCTATGCAAAAACAGTTATTTGCTAACATATGGTTTTGGGTATGGGCAGGTGATCGCCAAGATTATTCTTGAGCAACTGTAAATATGGAGTAAGCATGTTAGCTTAAACTGCTTGACATGACTTGAACTTGGTGTATACAGTTAAAAAGACAGCATGTCTTAGCTGTAGCTTGTAACTTAAGATGCCGTTGCCTTATCAGCCTGTCTCTGAATTTCCAAATAAGTGTAATCCTGACTGGGTTGAAAAACGAATACTTAAAAAGTGCCTCTGTCATTACTGGACAGGAATTTTCCCTGGGACAGTAGATGGATATTTTAAGTTGATCTGACTTGGTTCAGTAAAATGTTGGATTTCCCATAGGAAACTGTTACAAACTTATAGTAAAAGCTGAGATCAGTTTTCTGGTTTTGTAGGTGCAGCTAATGATCGCAGGGAACTGCCACGGTTCAAGTTGCCCGTCAGTAGCAGCACTCTTAAGTGCTTTCGCACTGTTATTTGGGCCGCTTGGATGTTCGAGGCTTGTGAGTGTCTCTCCAGAAGCTCTCCTTGTGAAGCTCGATTTCAAATTTATCTTTGGAGACTAAACATGATTTTGAAACCAAGAAATTGTAAAATTAATTTGAAACTGTGTCTGGAAAGCCAAACTTTTTCTTTAAAACCTCTTTTGAGATGAGCGAAGCTTCATCTCTTTCAAACCGAGCAGGTTTATCTGTGAAATCATTACATGTTTGGTACTTTGTGGTTTCAGCTTGCTCTGGTTTGCTTTTAGGTGTTTTATGTAGCATAGGGATTATTTCCCATAGCAAGTTCTATTAACTAGATTCATGATGACTCCTACAAGCTGTGAAAAATCTAGTTATTGAAGTCTTTCAGATGGTGCTTTGATGTTTTGTTGATGCTTTTCCTTTTCTTTCAGAAGAAAAGGTACACAAAATGTGTTGGGAGAATCCAGTTTATGTTCTAGAACTCGCTATTGTAGAAGTTACTCATTTGGAACATAAACGATGTGTAGAACAAAATCTAAGTCTCTTGCAGTGTAGTCAACTGTGGATTCGTAGTGATTGTATAGGAAATACTGTACGGTGATTTGCAAAGAGAACATATATATGCAGCCACCAAAACTTTTAGGAGTTTTACTCATCTGTGGCTTAACTTAGTTCAGGTTACTGAAGAAGCAATTGTTTTTCTCTGTAGTCAGCTCATCAGAGTTTAAAAGGTTTACGTTTTGAAGATTGCACATATCGATCAGTTCATCATTTCTTTGGGAAGGAGTGAGTCCCACTCCTAGCCATTCTTGGATCGCTGTCAATGAACGTGTTTGGTTGGATCAGGCTCCTGACCCAGCTGTCAATCGATGCCTGTATGGCTGTCCTTGGTGGCATGTGGGAAGGGTCAAGAATGTGAGCAGGAGGATGCCTCTTTTGTGATTGGTGTCCTCTGGGGCAAGCTGATCATGAGACTGCAGTCTCAGAATTGGTATGTCTTTATCACTTGCTAAAGAACTAATACGGGTATTTTTTCCTAAACTGTCAAACTTACCAGAATTTTTCAGAGAAAAAAACCCATAAGAATATTTACAACTGTTATTTCAAAAATGAATTCAGTTTAAACAGAAGGCCTGTAACTGTTTCGTGTTCTGGAGTATTGATGTTAATGCTTCATTACCTCTTGATTATAACTCAGCACTGAAACAGGTTCTTGGGACTTCTCTTAGGTGTGTATGTAATAGGAAGCGTACTCGGGCAGCAAATGTGAGAACTGGGTTTTCTTGAGAGGTTCTGAGCTTCCTTGTTTCATTCCTCACACAGTTTTAAGTGGTTTACCTTTTTGATTTTTTTCTGCCTATTTTTCTGAGGAGGTGGGAAACCTGATTATTTTATTTTATTTAGTCGTTTCATTCCTGACACAGTTTTAAGTGGTTTACCTTTTTGATTTTTTTCTGCCTATTTTTCTGAGGAGGTGGGAAACCTGATTATTTTATTTTATTTAGTCATTTTTGGGCAGTCTTTGCTGGGAAGTTAAAGGGATGAATGAGTGTGGAGATTACGGTGGAGGTCAAATATAATGTAAAACAGGTTAATAAACTTCTGTTTCATAACTTGGCTTTCCTTTTACTTCAGTGGGGAATGTATAAGGCAGCTATTTTAAATTTTGGGTTATCTTAATTGCTTACTGCTGTTAAAAAAAAAATATATGCAATTTTTGAGATCTCAGAAAACAGACTTGCAATAGTCCCCTCCATCTCTTCTTTGTTTGTAGTGAAGTGTGTATTACAAAATGTTTACTTCAGCTGGTTGAGGAGGTTACCTGCTCCCCTTCCACCTTGCAGCTTGTCGTGTACAGTAGTGCTGCTGTAACTGGTATAAACCATACCATTGAAATTATCTGGTTAAATATAGTGCCTCCCTCCTGCTCCTGGCCCGCTTTTTTAAGGGTTATTTTTAATCAGATCATTCTGGTGATCCAGTTTATAGCATAGCACTGTAAATGACTGTAGCACTACTAGCACAGCTGAGTAGTCAGTCATTTTTAAAATCAGTATTGTTTTTGAAGCTAATCTCATGTGACTGCATTTTTTTTTCTGCTTTGGGATGACTTTTTTGAGGCAATTCAGATTAGGTGATGAGAACTTGGGTGTGAAGGGAAAGTATCTGTTATTACCATAATAAAGTAACTCAGTTTTGGATTCCTATTAAAATAAAATCCAGGGCATACAAGCAATGAACACTACCACCTTCCCCTTGCACCCACCTGATAGCCTATGTGTAGTGCTTTTCTCCTAGGGAACTCCAAAATACTTGAGGTATCTCACTGGAAAAAGAGCTGAAGCGTGGTTGCTTGCTGTCAGCTGAACTGGGGTCTGCTGACTCATGAGCTGTTCAGTGCTTACCTTGCCACTTTTTTCTTTTTCCTGCTGGTTTAGCTTTATGCTTCAAGATGTATATCTATGGTGAGTGAGGATGAAATTGTGTAAGGAGGGGTAAAATTAAGAAAATCTTTACTTGCAGACACTGCAGTAGGTTGCGAAGGAGGAATTTTACTGCAGTTATTTTACAGCACTAGTGCTGCTCTTAGATTGCTGTTAGTTGACAGAGATAAAAAAGAAGGTATTTTGCTTTCTTAATATTCTCGTGTAATGCAGCATTTGGATATTTCAGTGCCTTTGGGATGACAGAAAACATGCTTTCTTGGCATTTGAAATCTTTGTGATAACAAATAACTAAATACACATGTGCTTGTCCTCTGCATTGCAGCTGAAAGGGCTTTCCTTGCTCTGCTTCTACCTTTCTTTCCTTCCTTTAGGGAAGGAAAAGAGAAGTAACTTTTCTTCTACTCCTAACAGTTAGAAATAGACATATCACCCTTTGTTTCTCGGTTGATGAAGTGCTGAATAAATGTGAACAAAGCATTTACATTAGACCTAAGAGTAGTTGACCATTTAAGAAAAACTTATGCACTCCTTGAAAATGTCATTGCAATATGCTTAATCTGAAGATACCAACTGTGCTGGAGTAAGGCTGCATGGAAAAACGATGCAGAAGCAATTTTAGTTTTTTAGAGTATTTTTGTCTCTTCCCTCCCTTATGCCCTTAACCACCAACATGAATTATGTGAGTTTTTTGCAGCATAATTTTGCAATATATGTTTTCTTCTACAAAGTTGATCTAAGTAGTGTTCTAGAATTTGATGTTCTATCCTGTTTATTTTACTGTTGTTATTGTTTATGGATTTGTGTTGGAAACTGCATCAGAGAAATTGTGTGAGGGTTTTTGAATGTGTTTTTGTAGGCACTATTTGAACTGGCTTGTATTAGCAGTCAATTTACTGTGCAGCCTCACAAACAATTGCATCAGTATGACCAAGGGAATTATAATCTGCAGCATGGGAGTAAGTGGCTTGAGCAAACAGGAACTTTAAAAAATTTTTGTCTGCAAAGTCAGTTCATTGTAGGATTTAATCTACCTTAAGCGACTGGCTTGGCACTAGGGCATTGAGCTCTTTACCGTTCCTTTTGACTTCACAGCTCAGCTACAATCTCCTAAATAATGAAAACTACTTTTATGATTGTCCAACGATGTCGTTATCTATACTAAAATTGGTATGTATAAGAGTAAAATGACCTTATTTCATGTTACGATAGATTTCCAATATGCCAAATGCTCTTCAGGTGTATTTTTTTGATATCTTACAAACTGTGGCTGCTGCATTTGACAACTATTACTCTGCTAGTGTCTGTCCCCAGCATGAAATTCCCAATAACGTATTTTTGGAGCTCAGGAAGCTCTTACTACTTCGACTGCCTAGGCCATTCCTGGCTCCGATACACTGAAACATGAAGTAGTTAGGTGTTAAATCTAACCTGTAGGATTTCCAAAGAAACAAACTGTTGGCACTAGGTGACATCAAAAGGACCAGGGCTCGTAAGGGTGGTTATGTGTTTCAAGTAAGGGATGCTTGGCATCCAATACTTTAGTGGAGGAGCTTTGTTGTTAAACTTTTTCACAGGCTTTAGTCTTTTTGAAAGGTCTCAGGTTGAGCATAGAAGTTGAATTAGCTAGTATACTACCAGTAAAATACTTTAACGGAAATGTCCTGGAACAAAAATAGTAAAAAAAAACAATGGCCACCACCCCCCCAAAAAAACCCCTGTCACTCTGTGGCAAGTATAAATTCTGAGACAGTGGTTGCATCAGGATTTTAATTATTTTACATTCAAAATGAAATGCTTCTGTTTGCTTTTCTTTTCATGATGTTTTGTGTAGTTTTGTATTTAAGCAGATTAGAGAACCAATCCTGCTAAAAATTAACCGAATGATCCCTTTTTCAGTTTCTCCCTATGAAAAAGAAATCTTGAGCAAAAATATTTTGAAACTATTAATATGAATTGTGTTGGTGGGCATTCTTGCACAAAGGATTAGAAACAGGTTTAAATTCTTTAAAACTATCTTAGCTGATGCAAGTACAGGGAATTACAGTTCTGAATCTTATTAGCATTGACAGTGGTTTTTTGCAGTCATGTTTTTGGTATTGTAGGGACACAGTGATAATAAGCTTTGACTCAGAACTGAGTTCAGCTCTGGACTGAAGGAAATGTGTGTTGAGAGTGCTCTCCTCATTAGGAGGAATGTGTATTTCCTCAGAAATTAAGACTAGTTGTGAAGATGTATTGTGATAGCCAAATAACGTTAAAATATTTGTCTCGAGGAAGCATTAAATTTTTTTTAACCCAGAAGACAAGTTTTCTTGAATACTATCTCTACATAGAAGTTGCATGCTTGTGTAACTTGTTACAGTCTGTGTTTACTGTGTTACTACAGTACCTAATTTTGTTAGCACAAGTAGAAAAAAGCAGCAACCTGAGTTTTGGCTCCTCATAACAGTATTTTTCTTTCGTTTCAGAGCAAACTTGATGATTACCAGGAACGAATGAACAAGGGGGAACGTCTGAATCAAGATCAATTGGTAAAAATAATAAAATAAAAAAAAATACTGACTAGATCTCTGTTAAATTGTTTTATGATCTTGATGGGAAAGAAGGGAGGAATTCCATTTCCTGTTAAAAGATTTTTCTAAGCTCTGACTTAACCTCAGTTTTTTGTTGCCTAGAACATCTTGATTTTTCTTTCAATCAGAAACTGAAAGACTAGATAGAGGAACATCTGGACATCATCCTTTTCATAGCAGAAAATGTGCCCACAGAGAACTTCAGGAGCTTAGTCACTTGGTGGTAGCTTGGAAATACTGTGCAGTCTAGTTAGAGATGTAGCTTAGACCAAGTTCTGAAGGGCTCTGAAAATGAGCTACATCCACGTGTGTGTCACAGCTATCAGTGTAGCAGATGTGACGCTCTAGATAAACTGGACTTGCTGAACATAAGCTGCTTCTCTGCTTGTTGGGGCTGGTTGTTAAAGTAGGTTATTGTAGAACTTGACTCAACATCGATTTTCCAGTTGTAATAAATAAAAAGCAAGTATCAAATTAAATTCAGTTGTATGATGCAAACGCATTTTGATACTTAGAGATTACCAGATGCTCAGTAATCAACAATATTTTGATGATGATTTTTAGCATTGAAGAGGGTGAAGGAAAAAAAACATGTGCCCTGCAAATACTGCAGCTGTTCACAATTAAAAGAATTAGCTCTTCCCCTTTATCTGTGTGATCTTTTCATCTGTCAAGGCTTTGCTGTGGTGGTTCTGTGCCAACTGAAAACTGAAATATCACTGATCTGTATATTTTTATTTTTTAATGGCATATTGTGAAAATAAGCCATGAGAAGGTTTGTATTCCATGAACACGGAAGATAACTGAAATTTCATATTGAGGAGAGAAGCTCATGAATTGAGTTTTATAAAGACCACAGCCTGACTACCACAGTTCATAAAGTCTTTTTTGGTTGGAGAAATAGTGAAAGTATTTGCTATTTTCACTTATGTCTTCGCTTCTACAAATCAGCTAAGAACTATGAATTCTGTAAATCACTTCATATGTACGTGTAATATGTGTATATGTGTAAGTTTTAGTTAGCTATATTATAGATGGAAATCTGTAAGAAAAAAAAAACCAACTAAAATACAGTTCATGTTCCTTGCTTCTCAAAGAAAGTAGGACCTTCTTCAACTCAATTGTTTTTACCAAGAACATATCCATTATTAATTTTGTCACAGCAGGAGAGTAAATCTCAGTCATTTTTTCCCCTGAGTTGACTCTGTAATTTCTCAGTACTGCAGAGTGGGTTAATGAGTTTGGATTGCTTTGGTGCAAATCAGAATGTTAGTTTTAAGAAAATAGCAAATAATACAGATTTCTGGAGAAGGAAACATTATGCACTGTGTAGCATTTTGATTTTGGCTCTGACTAAAGTTAACAATGCATTAATTCTCAAACCTTTATCTCTCGAGCAGTTTTGAGTTGCCAGATTACTTTTCTCCCCAATTCCCCTGGCCTGCCAGTTATTTTTTGTCAGAAACTGGCTAAAGGCAAACATTAAACTAATGTCGTGCGTGTGAGTTTATATATGCATATGCTTTAGCCTATTTATCTAAGAAACTAGAAACCCTAAAGACATACACAAGTCTTTTCAGTATTTTGGCCAGTGAAAATCAAAATTGGACTTAACGTTGTTGCAGGTGTTCCCATTAAGGGATACTGTGTCTCACTTAGGAGCTAAAAATGTGGGAATTTGTTTGTTGGAAGTATGTATTTTGTTCTATTTATGATGGTTTACTTTCATGGTTTTGCGTTTTTTAATTTTTTTTTTAAGGATGCAGTGTCAAAATACCAGGAAGTGACAAACAATCTGGAATTTGCTAAAGAACTGCAGAGGAGTTTTATGGCTCTGAGCCAAGACGTAAGTAAAGAGCAAATGGTGCAATGTGGGCTATCAGCTGCAATGCCAAACACCTAGGCTTTAAACTCTTTCACTAATCCCAGATGCAGTAGTCACCCCTATTCACAGAGATGAAATGCTCATGATGTGTTGTCTCTTTGGCGGTTTTGTTTTACTCCGTGTACTAGTTTGTGTCAGGTTTTCTGAAGGCTATTCCTAAAAGATTTTTCTGGTGGGCTACATAAACGTGTGGGAAGAAAAATAATGTAATTTTCTGAGAAAAACTGACTACTGAAAGCAGTGTAATTGCAAAACAGGTCTGTCATGTAACATTATAGACAGCTACTTACTGCTAATAGTAACTTTTCCTTATAAGAAAATGGAGATTTCACAGGCCTGCCTCTCTCTTTGGCAAGTGGCTGAGAGCTTTCATTCTTGTATATTACTGTAGGGTATAAAGTCTCAGCAGCTGAAAGCATTGCAGTTCCTTTTGCAAGATTCTTGCTGTATTGTTAATTGCAAATACAGTCTGAAACTACGGTATGGGACATGATTAATATCCTTTTCATAAAGGATAAGTTAACTGAATAGTAGTAAAAGAGGTAATCTTTCTGATAGTGTTTTATCAAGGATGTAAAATAACAGCGTAATCAAGAATAAGTTCTAAAACTCTTAATAGACAGTTCCAGTTATATGAACAACTTTGCTTTATTTCTTGTGCCAAGAGCAGCAAACAAAAAGATGCATTTTAGACCTCTGCAGTATCATTGCAAGGAAGAATTAATTCTGGGGCAAGCTGAAAGCATAACCTATTTTATAGGACTGGATTCTAAATGCAGTAATACAGTTAGTTAATGAGTTATGGAAAGAGCAGCAACAGTGGTAGAATTCATTGTTTAGTCAATGTTAGTGCAGCAGCCTGGTCTAATGAGTGTATTTAGTTTGTGAACAGACTGTGATAATTTGAAGGGCATCAACATCCTCATGTTATAAACTGCTTTCTACATTTGATGTTGTTGTAAATTTATAGGCCTCTAAGCTAAGCCATTTCATTGCTTGTCTTGCACCAGGGTTCTGTGTATGTTTATGGAATGTTAGTAATAAAGAACTTTCTTATTCTGAGAACTTTGTCCTGAAATATTTCCCTGGTCAGCTGACTGGTAAAAGAAGCAAGTGAATCCAGGAGTAATAAATTTGTGCGCTGTGTTCAAAGTTGGTTGTAATTTTTCTTGATTGGAGTTAGTTCTCATACAGTTGATTTTAAGACAAGTCTTTGATTTTTTAAAAAAGAAGTTCAGATGCTTCAGATGTACAAAGTTTCTGTCAGGAGTTCCATTTTTTTGTAAAAGAAGATTAAAGCTTTGTATAGTTAAAAGTGTGCAAGCTGAATTTTGGATGCCAGATGACTGGATTAAGAATAAGAATGGAAGAAACCTTCTGTAGGTTCAGACTAGTGACGCATTTAGACCGCTGTTACGACAGCAGTTCTAGAAGGTACTATGTATAGTACAAGGCTGATGATTTAATCTGGCATCCATTCCCTTACGTCATCTGTGACCCTCAGCCTGAGAATGTTAGAGGGTAGATGCATTCGTGTTCCCTTTAGTGTCTGTGGACCTCATGTCCAAGAATTTGTTCAAATCCCTTTTGAACTTGCTGATACTGTCTTATCTCCCCAGCAAAACATTCCATGAGTTCCCTTCTATGATGTCTAAGAAACAAGAGTACTTTATCTGCTTTAAGCTAATCTCCTAGTAGTTTCAATGAATGCCTCCTACTATCATGGGATATGGTGAATAACGGCTCTGTTCATGTTATCTGCTGGCCTTTGTGGCTTTCATGAAAAATCTGGATCATGCTTACTCCTCCAAATTGATGAACCCAAGACTTAGGCTCTGCTCATAAGTCAAGTACTCTGTCCCCTTTATCATTTGAGTTGCCTTTCTCCGTGCCTTTTCTAATTGCTGTAAGTCTTCCTTAAGATATGGAAGCCAGAAGTTGTAAAAAGCCACAATGTTTAAAAGGTACTTAATTTTGTATGTTTTTGCCACTTGCATCTAGATCAGAATGACTTAGTGTTTACAGAACGTTTCAGAAATGAGGCAGATATTTCAAACAAGCCCAGCTTGCTTCACACATTGACGCGTGAAGCTTTAGACATGGTAACTGCAGTTACTTGACTGAACTGCTTCTAAGTCATGGAAAGTACAGACTGAAGTAAGAATATGATCAAAATCCAATATGATCCAAGGTTTGTGGCATTGATTTTAAAGTTCGTCTTAATTTGCACAGTTTTGACTCTGCTTAAAAGATAGTCTTCACACGTTATTCTGCTGTAATATTAAGATTATTAAGTGGCAGTTCAACATCCGTCTCTGCTTACCAGTAAAAGACATTTTCCCCCAAGTTCACTATAGAATCCAAGTTTAAGCAATATAAAATTTCTTTTCATTTTAAACAGATCCAGAAAACAATAAAAAAGACAGCTCGCAGGGAGCAACTGATGAGAGAAGAAGCTGAGCAGAAGCGTTTGAAGACTGTACTAGAGCTACAGTTTATTTTGGAAAAGTTGGGTGATGATGAAGTGCGCAATGACTTGAAACAAGGATCAAATGGAGTACCAGTACTGACAGAGGAGGAACTGACAATGTTGGATGAGTTTTACAAGCTGGTTTGCCCTGAACGAGACATGAACATGAGGTAGGCTTCAGTAAAGTACTTCCATTTGTAATTGTCAGTCAGTTAATGATATATCTGTACTGTGGTAATTTAAAGACTTGGTAAGAAATTAACTCTTATTAATTATTTTTTTTTTTAAGGTTGAATGAGCAGTATGAGCAAGCATCTGTTCACCTGTGGGACTTACTGGAAGGGAAGGAAAAACCAGTTTGTGGAACAACCTGTAAGTATGGTCTTTGTAAAAGAGATGGCACACTGAATTTTTGCTTGAACTGAAATACAGTGTCTGATACAGGAGAACTTCGGCAGTTAATTATCTTTCTGAGGTTTTAGAATAGCTACTTTTTTAACTGGACTGTTACAGAATAACTTAATGAAGTATGAGCTTACTATGTGGTGGTGGTTTTTGTTTTTCTTTTTGTTTTCCTGGTGCAGCATTACTCGCTATTTAAGCTTAGTCTGTTCCTGCTGTTTCAGCAGTATTCTGCTGCTGGTGATGCTTAGTAGCGGCTCTTCGTTTTCTGGAAACGTGTGTAAACAAGGAGCTTTGTCAATAATATGACCTAATATATAAACTGGCATGACCTTATTTGGTGTGATGTTCTGCTCCTCCTTGTCTCCTGAAAAAAGCATTCTGGTTTTGCTGTGTTTTGATTGATTAACTTTGTAAATCAGGGTGTGATCACGCAAATGGACTGCTTTCTTGCAGAAATGTAAACTTTCACAAATACGTACCTTCTAATATTAGACCTTAAGAAATTGGCTCTGCTAGGCATTTTCTTGTATCATGGGGGATTTTTGAAGTCTCTTAATTGGAAATCAATAGGAGAGTTTTAGAGAATAGCCTTCCTTGTTGGTAAAATGGCTAACAAGTTTCCTTCTTTAAAAAAAAAATTCAATTATCTGTATTATATTAGAGTAATATTGAGCTCTTAAAAGACGTTTTGTGTTCTATTCATAGAAAGTGAAATTATAGTATTGCAATTGTTATCTAACTTGCTTTATTGAGGACTGATACACAGGAGATTTTGAGATACTGTGGCGTTAATGGTAATGAGATTTTTCTTGTTTGTGACAGAATAGGGAATTTCATATTTTTTATATCATTGAAATGAAATTCTATTAGTAGAGTACCAGATTAGTATTTTTTTAATTAAAATTTGTTTTGCAAGAACTCAAGTATGAAGTGGTTGTGATGTTAGATCTTTGAGATCCCAAAGATACGTACCACATACTTTTTTTTGAAGAGATGGAGCAAGGAGAAGGTATAGCGATAATTCTCAGGAGAAAGCTGATGTACGGTCCTTGGAAACCTTGTCATTCTCTTACAGAACCCAGCTCGACTTCATTCTGTATCTAGATCTCAGAATGAGCTTTTAGTGATGTCATTGGCAGCCATTGCTGGTTTGCTTTGTCTTATAATAGGGACAAATGTATTTCTGTGCTCTTTTCTGTGTATGTATTGTTTCATACAGTGATCATCACTTGCCAGACATGCATTGTGAATCTTCTCTTTTGAGTCTGTTTTGTTACTTCTTGGCCTAGACAGTCAGTCATGCTGCCTTGCCATTGTGGCTGATTAGTTTTGGGTTAAGACATGACAGCATTTGTCTGAGGCACTGAGTGCAAGCTTGTGCTTGCTCTGAGTGCAAAGGCTGTTCTGAGCCACTTCACGTCAGGGAAGAACCTTCGTGAAGGTGGTACCTGTGTAACTGTTCGTACTGACAGTTGTTTTGTAAGAAATTGAGTTACAGTAAGGTTTTTTAATGAGGAAATGACAAACGTAGCAGTTACAGTTGAAACTTCAGTGAATTCCTGAAACTTTGCAAACTGAAAACTAAGAAACCAGAGATTTTTTTTTTTTTTTAAATAGCAGGAATAAAAGTATGGTAATTAAATTCATAAACTTTATCTCACTTTGAAGTGTTTCACTAATCTTCTGAAGAGTATTACATACTCTTAAGGTTCTCCTTCCCCTTCAGATTTTTCTGAATGGAAGTTAATTATTGCTTTATTTAATATGACCTAGTAAGACAGAAGAAATTCTGTAGCAGTAGTGTCTGTGGACTAGCTTGGGGCAGCAACATCTTCCCATCAAAAGAGTAATAAAATTTATGTGGGATCTTTGGGAAGGAAGTAAAAGATGATTAGTCTTGAGTTACTGTTATTCTCTTTAACTCCTTCCATTTTCCTAGATAAAGCGCTAAAGGAGATGGTTGAACGTATTCTTCAAACTAGTTACTTCGATAGCACCCATAACCATCAGAACGGATTATGTGAGGAAGAAGAGGCAGCCCCCGCACCTGCAGTAGAAGATGCTGTAGCAGAGGCTGGTAAGAATATGAATATCCCCTGCGACTACCGTATTTGCTCGTGTTGTACTGTCTTGTCTCTTAGCGTTTAAGTTGCAAATGTGGCTTTAAGCACAAAAACCACCTGTCTGAATTTTTCAGGTGTACTGGTGTTTTGAATAGGAATGTCATTCTTGATAAATGGGTGTGCATCTGGCCAGGAAACATATGTAGGGGTAGTCAGCCACTTGTTCTGCCCTGCTCTGAGCCATGAGGAAAGAAGAGCAGAGCTGTGTTCCAGAAGAGTTCTGCAAGACTGACTCTTGCCAGCTATTTCTTTGGAGGGACCATAATCCTTTCTAACGATCACATTGTAAATGTCTTCCATCATGGACAAGGAAAGGCTTGGTGTTTTAACTGTGGAGTGTCAGCTGAATGAAGGAACAAAGTCATGTAGTAGTACTTGTGTTTGAACACATCTTGCAGGGTTTGTCTGTCCAATATGTCACTTGCCGAAGAAAGAACCCAGGCTAACAAATTAAAAGCAAGTTTATGCAAATGAAAATTACTGTTTTCCTGTAGAGCTTCTCATTATCATTTATAAACAAAATCTTGTTTGTCTGTAGTGTTAAAATGATAAAAGATTAAAATTCTGGTTGCCTGAGGTTTTTCCATTTTTTTAATGGTTCCACCAGTTTAATCCTTTGTTATAAGTGAAGAGTTTTTGAAGTTAAGAGTATGCTTACATACTTAAAAACTCGAGAGTATGGTAGCAAACTTGAAAAAAAGATTCATGGCCTTTTTCTCCCTTTTCAATATGTTGTGGAGAAGACTGAAATTTGGGGTAACTAAACATAACTCTTCATACCAAGAATTTAATGTATTTTTTTAAATTTTATTTCAAAACTCTGAAAGTCCTTGTTATTGCTTAATTAGTGTCCAGTTGTTTTTATTTTCTTTGTTCCGAGACACAGGTTTCTTCATCTATCTTGTAACGTTGCGTTTGTTTCTGAACCCAGCAGGTACCTAACTGTACAAGTCAGCAATATTGAGGCTCTAGTTTCAAATCTAATCAAAATCCCATCCCCTTGAAGGTGTCTGAAAGGCAACTCCTTCCTTAACATACAGCAAGCTTCTAATATTAGGTATTAATGTCACACAGGAGTAAATGTGTGTCCATTCATTCCCTGTGTAGTAACAGTCTATAGCACTTCGTAACAGTAAATGTTTTTGATAAATGCCGACTGCAAAAATGCATCACACTGCTTCAAAATTTAATTTTTATTGGGAGAGAGTTTTTGATCTTCCTTTAGATCTTCTAGGTCTGCCACGTGATTTTTTTCATTGTTTGTTTGTTTGTTTTTTCCACATAAATGTTATCTTTTTTACAGAACCTGATCCAGTGGAAGAATTTACTGAACCAACTGAAGTTGAATCAACTGAGGTATTATTCCCTGGAAAGATTGTCATTTTGTGTAGCTTTAATGCCACTTACTTTTACTTTCATACCCTTTCTTATTTTTATTTTAGTATGTAAACAGACAATTCATGGCAGAGACTCAGTTCAGCAGTAGTGAGAAGGAACAGGTAGATGAGTGGACAGTTGAAACGGTTGAGGTAAGATCTTGTGTACTGCAGGTAAAGTTGCAATCCCTGTTTCCGCTGACTCGCAACTCATAGGTCTTAGTATTGCATCCCTTCTCCCTCAATATATATAAGAATATGTACATGTAAGTAGGGTTGGACTTGTTGCTCGGTCTCAAATTACATATTTAGCTCAGGAGTACCTAAAATAAAAACTACGCTGTCTGGCTAAGTTTGTGGAGAACTTGCTTTGTTCAGTAGTAGTTTGCTTGGGAAAACAGGACTTAAAAGTCTTAGACTTAGAGACTTAAAAGTTTTTTGAAGATTTTTTTTATGAGAACTTTGCTGCAAATGTAGAACTTCAGTGTATCTACGCAGCTGCTGACAGCATGGTATAGTTGTGTGTTTCATTGCGTGGTTCTGTGGAGAGGGAGCTGAAAATTAGTATCTCAACTAATACCTACTCCGGTTTGCATATGTACGTAATTTGAGGTTACAATATGTCTGTATGTAAATCTCTGCTTTCAAGAACTATAGTTCTTCAAGTATTTAACTTGTTGCTACTTTGCAGTTGAGTGATTGTTCACTTGTGATGTTTGTGGTATGCTGCTATTGGGATCCATTCCCAGTTTAGTAATTTAGACTCTAGACTTAACTTCACGTACAAGTCCATTGTGGTATACTAGAATTGTGTTCTTCACATACTGGAAAGGACAAATCACATGGAGTAATTCAGATGTTTGATATGTTGGAATTTGGGTTGTATCCATCTGTTAGGAACAGGTATGGGCAGCATATTTCAGGTGCTGGAGTCTTAATTTTTGATTCACTTTAGCCTTCTGTAGCAGCAAACTACAGACGGTCGATGTGTTTTTTTTAGGCTCTTTCTTTGTGTCTTCAGACTCTTTTAAGTGTAGGAGCAGAGTAAATGTTCTTAATCTCTTCAGGAGGTCAAAAAGAGAGGAGCCATTTTGATAGGATTATCTAATCTGCCTGATTTTTACATTCAGTCTGGCTGAAATTCATATCTTATGGCATTGAAGACCACTAAGAGACTTAATAATACTTAGAATGAATGTGAGGCTTCTGTAACTAGCTAGTCAACTTTGCCATGTACATGATGATGTTGGTAGTATCTTGTCATAGTATTCTATTCCCTTACTTAAAAAACCCTAAAATATCATTGCTATTAAATGCAGTAAGTATTCTTTAAAAAAAAAAACAAACAAAGAAACCCTCCAAAAACACACATTAAAACACTGTGTCTTGTAAGAATATCCCAGTCAAGCATGACTTTGAAGTTAATGCTTGGTTGGCTTCAATCTGACTTGGAATATATCCAGATTACATCTATGTTTATACCAGGTGTCCAAAGTAGCTTAAAGGTTCAGTTCTATGTAGTTCTTAATATTATGAATGAATACATGAGAGTATAGGAAATGTCCTTATGATTCAAGCCTGTTGTGCTTCCCTCAGATCTTAAACTGTAAGACTGTGTATTGCACAGTTGAAAACTCAGATGCTTCCTCATGGGTGTAATAATGATATGGAGTAACCGTACTAGCGTGGTAAAAGAATTCAGGTTGTAGTTTTGTATCACACTGATTTTAGAAACTCCTGGTTTTCCGTGTCTTTACTGGTCAGCTAAGTCTGGATTATATCCGCTTTGTTTTCATAGAACAATGCGAAGAGCATACACTTCAGACCTCCTTTCTGGACTATATACAAATGAGCAATTCAGAAAAGTTTAGAATTGAAGACTACTTCTTCATAATTAAGAACCTTATTTTCTCAGATTTATCACAAAAAGGGGGATTGAGAATAACTGTCTTTGAGATGACTCTTAACTGTCCTTGCTGGCACCAAGATCCCATTTCTCACAGGAATGCAACTGAATTATTCTTAGGGAAGATCATGATACACATTGGATAGAGCCTTTATGCTCTTGAGCTCAAGGTAGTTGTGACATTAGTATACTAAGAGCTGTGAATGATAGCTGTTAATTTTGGAAGCTGATTCCAAAAGAGAACATTTACGAAGAACATTTCCATCATTGTTTTTGAAGAGGAAGGCTATCACAAACTCGTCTCTCTTTCCATAATCCGAAGTAGTTGTGATGCGTTGAAGATTTCTGTGTTATGGTATCTTTATGGTTTGAGAAGCAATGACATCTCACAATGACATTGCTGTATGACGCTCCCGTAAGTTTTAAACTGAAGAATTTGCTTGTGAATTCTCAAAGTATTTTTCACTTGGATTATATCATGTTTTAATTTTGGTGAAGATGTCCTTTATTGGTAATAGTGGGGGTTTTGTTTGTGGTGGGTTTTTTATTGTTGTTTTCGGTGGTTTTTGGTGGTGGTGGGGTTTTTTTTGTGTTTGATTTTATTTTATTTAACTGCTTCCTTTATAATAAGTACCTGAATCCGAATCTGCTTGTATACAAAGTTCTTTGTGTCTTAGATTATGGAACTTTGGTTGGATGGACATATGCGTATTTTATGTAGAACTGGAAACGCTGTTCTGTGACTGCCAGACAGGTTCATTCTGGTTCGTTTGTGGTCTCATTAAATTTCTGGTTTTACCTCTCCTTCTTTCCTCCTTTGCCCCTGGCCTTCTATACCCTATTATTTTCCTCTGATTGTGCCTGGACAGCTCTGCCTACTGAGAAGGTCAAGGGGCAGGGTGTCAGAAGGGGAGCGTGCAATTTGAGAGGTTCAGCTCTCCTAAAAGAAGTTTCACCTTGCTGCTATGCCCCCAAGATGAATAGAGGTGTATGGTCGGGTAATAATTTGCTTTTTGAATAAAGATCCTTGTATTTGACTAGTTGCTGTATCTTTTTCATCAGCCAGACAGTTAGAAAGCTGTTCACTTTAAAACTACAGCCTGTCCACTGGCAACTTAATATGCAAACTTGAAACTTTATTAGTAGTTTAATCCTACTATGATTATAATAGGTCAAAGTACCTGGTAGTGATAATAAGACTAAAGGAATAGACCCTAAACAGTTCCTTTTGACATTAAAAAGAAGTTTGGAAAAAAAAAAAAAGTAAAATATTAAGCATCATCTGAAGTTAGTACTGTACTATTTGTGAAAAAGGAAAAAGTGTGATAAAGTTTTGTGCCCATTTGGTGTTCTTGATTATTCCATCAACTTGTTTTTTCTTGAAGATACTGAATTGTTATGAATGACTTGGACTTCATAAGGTGCATGATAGTACTCAAATAATTGAGAATGTTTTTGGTGATAATTATGTAGAAGATGAATAGCTGCTGGTTTTCATCTGTTCATCTGGCTTGCTTTTTTCTTTACTTCCATTTTCAAACTTGGTAATGCATGAGAGGTCCATACATGTGATCTAAATAACATTTTAAAAATTCTTTTTCCACTCACAGGGCTTAATTTTTAATTTGGAAACAGTCCATACTTTCGAGTTTGGGAACTGTGTAATACAGCAGAGCAGTTGTGCATTTTTTGCATTGTGGACAGCCTTAGGGTATACTTCCATGGGGACTGTGAAATTGCTTTTGTTTGGATGGCTAATAGTGGAGCTTTGGATCTAAATGGAATCTTGAAAAGGAATGTAGATTGTGGTTGTTTTTTAGTTTTGTTTAAAGATTTTTTTCTCTTTTTTTTGTTTTACAAATGACTAGGGATATAGTCCCGGAAAGAGTCGGGAGTTTGTGAGGCAATTGCATGTGCAGATTGTCACATACAAACAATGTTTGTAAATCAGAGCAAGGAGTAGGCATACTGGAAGATGCTGTAGGTTTCTTTGAGAAGTTAAAAAAAATTTACAGGCTTTGAGGGTGGATAGAAAGAGTTCGAGTTTAAAGTTCAGACCTGCGATTATGGAACTGGTCTACAACAGGACTGTTTGTCACTTTTCATGACTGCTGTACAGAAAGCCACCTTCTGCAGTTCTAATGAGAAACCAGATATTTTACATAAGTGCTTTGAATTTTCAGGTGCGTGTATGCTAATTTACTATGCAGCTGTAAGTTTAATGCTTACCTGTTTATCTGGAAGATTATTAACAATTAAAAGCTCGTGGGAATAGAGAAGCGATAGACAAATTATTGACAATGTGATCTTTTTAAAGGTCAGTTGTTGACATGAATGCAAATTGAAAATGGCACTTATGGGAGTTGCCTGAAGAGCAAAACTGGTTAGGAATGCGAAAGTGCTATTTTGTTCAGCTCGACCATCCTTGTAACTATCTTTTTTCAAGCTGTTTGAAGGTGGATGCTCTTAGATGCTCATGTTCAGCTTTTCTTGGTTGCTCTGCTCTATTTGATAAGGTGGTATTTGAAAGCATGTTGCTGTTTGTCATATCTTTATGTGCTTCATATTGGAACATGTCTAGTAAATCTGACGTGGTGCTTCTGCTTCTGGCAGCCCCCCACAGTGCTGTCTTGCAGTATTCCTGTCGCATAATGCTGCATGCTGTTCTCTGAAACCATAAATCAGCTAGCTAGGATAACAATGGAGAAGTTGGGTCTAGACATGACTGTGAAAATTCAAAATTTTGAAGTCTTAAAGACTCATAAATTCCGACTCTACTTAAAATTACCAAAAAGATACGATAAAAGAATTGATCTCCATGTGTGCACATTGCTGAAACTATTTCCTGAATTTCTTCAAATTTCCAAATGTTGATAAGTCAACATCTCAAATCGTGCTCTAAAAAAATCCCTGTAATTTTGAACAAATTTTTTGTTAGCGCTGTTCTTAATAGGGAGTAGAGTAGATGGAAAGAAAATAGAGCACAGTCTGAACTTTCTCATCCTGTGAAATGCTCAGATCGGTAGCTGGCCTCCAATACTGGCATGACTGTAGGAGGATGTAGTACTTTTCTGCAAGAACACTGTAGTAATTACATCCATAATTAATTGGATAATAGCCATGCATTTTGAGAACGAGTAAGTCACTTCTGTGCAGTGTTACCTTAAGCTGAAATTTCACTTGGTTGCTTGTTTCTTGTTAGGTTGTAAATTCACTGCAGCAACAGACACAAGCTACATCTCCTCCAGTTCCTGAACCTCACACACTCACTACCGTGGCTCAAGCAGATCCTCTTGTTAGAAGACAGCGAGTACAGGACCTTATGGCACAGATGCAGGGCCCGTATAACTTCATGCAGGTACGATGATCCCACTGTGGTATTGTAAAACTAGAAACAAAGAAACAAAATAACACTTTCTGGCTTTTGTCATGATTTAAAGAGTCTGCTCTAGTTTATTTGAAAAATACAATGGTCTTGCAAACTGTATAGTGCTGTATGGCAAGATCTTGTCCAAAGCCTACAAACCTGTATTGCTGTCAAAGTACAATTAGAATGTTACTTAGCTTTTCAGTCCCTGTTTGAAATAAATCTACAGAGAAGGCGGAGTTTTGCATCACTGGGTGCTGTAGTGTATTCTGCTTAAGTGAGACCAGCTATAAAACATCCCTTCTATAAGCTAGTTCTAAATTTTGTGTTATGAAAAATACCTACAACATGTGAAGAGAATACTTTTTGAATTGCTTCTTGAAGGCCCTCCTTCAACCTCTAAAGTTAGAACAACTAGAAATGCATTGGGAGATAATGAAATACATTGGAAAAAGCCTCTCCTCCACAAAGAAAAGGGTAGACACCTTGGTAAAAAATGAGGCATACGCTTCTTAGGTTCCTTTTCTTGTTTCTTCCTACAAAGTGCTAGTTTAGGATAAAGACGAAAGAATAGATTGCTGCCTGTTCTGTCTGGCTATTAAAATCTCCCTCCAGTTACCTTTTTGTGGGATAAGCTCTAATTTGTATATGTGGACTGAATTTTTTACTGTGATAAAAACATGTTGGAATTCTTAGTATTTTAATTGATTTAAAATGTACAGTAAAACCAGCAATTGTGTAACTCTGGACTAAGCTTCTGTTGTGACCTGGTCACTTCCTGTATTCTGACTGTTTATATTTTAAAAATACAGTAAATTGGACTTGATTTTTCTTATTTTTATTTTTTTTTTCCAGGACTCTATGCTGGAGTTTGAGAACCAAACACTTGATCCTGCCATCGTCTCTGCACAGCCCATGAATCCAGCACAGAATTTGGACATGCCACAAATGGTTTGCCCTCCAGGTTTGTAATGGTAAATCCTAAACATAAATACTGGGGGATCCTGCAAGTCATCTATTAGAAGTGCTTCAGTTACTGCTACATAGTAAAGGAGTTGTCACAAGTAATAATACAGTACTGTTAAAAGTGTGTTTTTCTCGGAAAAGTGATTTTAGTTTTGAAGGATACTATTTGTAGACTTCTGATTCTCACTTGCTTCTAGATTTTGCTTGGAAGCATGGAACATGTTAAACTTTGAGTGGACAAAATACAGTTTTACTTAGCCTTTCAGAAATTGCTGGATGATTTTGGATAGCTGGGACCAATGTACTTTGCGTGGAAATGGTAGTTGGTATTTTGAGTATGGCTTTGCCATGCAAAAGGCGTAATCATCTTTACGGTGATGAGCTCTCACATTACTGAGTTAAATAAGATGGTAATGCTGTTCTGGAAAAGGTTGGATTGTGCTATGTAATAAATGAAATTGTTTTACTTCAGTTCATGCTGAGTCAAGACTTGCCCAGCCCAATCAAGTTCCTGTGCAACCAGAAGCTACACAGGTAACGCGTTTAGTAAATTGTATCTTGGATTTTAAGTTTATTTTAGTCTTGACTGATGTTATAATAGGATTTACTTCCTAACTATATGAGAAACTCAAAGAAAAAGCCGAAGTTCTGATTTTGGGAAATCAGTTATCTCCATTATCTCTTAAGCATTGTTGCTTATAAGCATTACTATCCATATTTTTTATGCTATGCAGACATTGCATATTTTCTGTTATAGAGCCTTTACCAGGCATTACCCTGTTTGGAAAACTGTCAGGTTCAAGGTTGAAGTACGAGTTTATTGAGGAAACTGCATTTCTAATTAGAGGCCTCTTAACCTGAAGGGCACAAGCATGAAAGTGGTTGCAGTTTGTGCTGCTCATTCTCATGGCCCAGTGTGGGCTTCTCAGCACTTCTTTCAGTCTGAGGGGCTCACCTTAGTCTTCAAATTCGATGTGTGAATGTGATTTTCATTTCACAGGCAGACTTCCACGTGCCTGTGTGTTAGGCTGCCATCGCTTAAAATCTGTGTTCCATGTGACTGTGGTGAATTTTGAGTGTCTTTCATGATTGGGAGGAAGAGCTTTGTTTGGAGTACTGCACTGTGTAGTCCTGCTCTAATATAGCAGTTTAACTTGAGATTTCTCTGCATTTTGTGCAAGGTGGACTAATAACTTGATGTGTCAATCTTTACTTAGTGTTCTTGTCCATATTAAGCCATGTTTAGTAATATTTTTAAATTTAGGTAGGAGCAAATTATCTTTCATTTGCTTATTTGTGACAGAAATGCCCAAACCAAAATTACTTGGTTAAAGGGCAGTCTGTATGTGTTCGAGTGGGCGTCAGACCACAAATAGATTTGATGGATTGACTGTAGAGTTTGTGGTGTTCTTTTTGACTTAACTCTGTTCAGCATCAGTCCCAGTTGCTTGCTTGGATAATATTTTAATACTGGAGTTGTAGAGCAGTCAGAGTGAGTTTGAATGCTGTTTTCACTTGAGCTTTCCTGAAATTCCTATTTAAGTAGGCTCTCTTAAACATTGCTTTTGCAATGTACAAGTGGTGTATTTACCTTTCCATTAGGATGTGTCAGTTTCTTACTGAATAGGCTAGTAAAGAAAGAATTTCCCGATTTTGAGTTAAGCATGTGTGGCATCTCTGAAGGACTCTGCTGGTCTGCAGAAATGAATCTGATCCCTGTAGTTTGAAAACCAAAATTAAAATCTGAATAGATTGTGTATATCAGAGTAATGGTAGTATAAATTACTCGCTTTGTCTTGTCCAGACTAGATCTTCCAGTTTTAAGTCACTCATTTGTGTAGAAACAGGAATATGTTTTTTTTTTTACCTTGAGTTTCCTCTGGATGTACCTGCTGAAGTGCTGGTACTCTCAGCAGTTTTGTTGTTTTGTAGGTGTAGAATAATTTTTTTTTTTGGTCAGAGTTCTCTTTGCACTAGCTTTTATTTTACTGTTAAATCGTGTCTGTGACTCACTCCAATGGATTTTTTAATTTTTTTTTTTTCCCTCTTTATTTTCCTTACCTCAGCCAGTGCTGCAAGAGATTCTTTTGGGGATCTTGCAAGCAGTAGCTAAACTTACCTCTTTCTTTTTGAATGTTCAACAAGGTGATGTGAACACACACATCAGTCGTTTTCAGTTGCCTCTTAATAAACTTAAATGGGAAGTCCTCTACTGTCTTGGCTGGACTTTTCACTGGATTCTCTGTAGGGGAGCAGAGGCTGTAAAATGAGCAAATGTAGTCCCTGGAAACCAGCTCTTCTCTATTTCTGTATGAGCTTAGAGTTCTCTTTAAACTTCTACATATTACTCTCTCTGTCTGTCACCAGCTTTATTGTAATGGTAATTGAAGTTGCATAAGGAAATGAGGAGAAGGATGTTCTTCAGTAAAAGCTAATATGTGTCCAGCTGATTCAGAAGTATACTTGGCAGGGAGTGGGTGGTGTGGCATGTTAGAATATGTCAAGATGAGGTGGTTAAACCTCTGCTTGTTAAAAAGTACTTAAGTTTTAATGGTTATAATGATTTGCTGGAACACATACTTCTACTAGAGAGTACCATTCATTCCAGAGTTCTCTGATATTTTTTATAAAACTGTGTGAGAGCATCAACTGACTTTTCGGGCCTTTGGGGTTTATTTTGTCAGGTTCCCTTGGTTTCTTCTACAAGTGAGGGATATACAGCCTCCCAACCCATGTATCAGTCTTCTCACACAGCAGAGCAGCGGCCACAGAAAGAATCCATTGACCAGATTCAGGCAAGTCACATTTCACAGGGGTAGGAAGGACTCTGCTTGCAGGTGTGATCAAATGTTAGTCTATGATTCTTTGTAAATAAAATTCTGTAAATTTTGGTTACCTATTGATAGGGCTGCTTCAGTTCTGTTAAATTTCAAAATTTGGAGCCTGTGACCAGTGAATCCTTCGTAGTAAGACTTTTAACTTAACAGATTGTCTGTTTAGTTAGAAGTAACATACCAATGTCAAGCGTATAAGTGTCAGTGTTGTTGGCTTAGGAGGTGTAGTGGTGTGTTGTTTGTTGTTTTTTTTTCACATTGGCTAGCAATTAGCCCAGAAACTTGTTCATTTCCCCCTGTAGTTTTTTCTAGTTGTAATTCAAGTTAACGAGGGAGAAGACTGCTAGGTCTTTCCCATTATGCTGTTGTCAATGAGACTGTTCAGCTAAAGTAGAAAATACTTATTTGTTGAGGTGAACCTGAGACCTTGTCGCTTTCTTCAAATTACCTTTGTAAATTAAATATTTGGTATTATTCAAAAGCTTCTAGAATGTTGTTTGTTTTAATTATTAGGCTTCAATGTCACTGAATGCAGACCAGACCCCGTCATCATCATCACTTCCCACTGCATCCCAGCCGCAGGTATTCCAGGCTGGATCTAGCAAACCTTTACATAGCAGCGGAATCAACGTTAATGCAGCTCCATTCCAATCCATGCAAACGGTAAGTAGTAAATTAATATTGAATCCCTTTATTTTGGTAGTCATTCCTTGTGTTGTTACATAAACACTGGAATCAGTCGTGTAATGACATAAAATAGTCTTTAGTTATTCATGTTTCTCAGACTTGCATACTTCTTTACATGATGCAATGAGGAATTGTAAAAAATTGATTGGACCAGAGAGCTATTTCTCTAACATTATAGGTATTCAACATGAATGCACCTGTTCCTCCTGTTAATGAGCCAGAAACCCTTAAGCAGCAAAATCAGTACCAGGCCAGTTACAACCAGAGTTTCTCCAGTCAGCCTCACCAAGTAGAACAATCAGATCTCCAGCAGGAACAACTCCAGACAGGTAAAGTTATTTTAGCAAAAACTCAAAAGGCAATAGTTTGAGCAGAAAAGATGATCAGGCCGTGAAGTCCCAGATGATGTAGCAAAGCATGTCACACATTCTCAAACGTTCCTAGTCTTGCAGACTTTCAACAATACCTGTTTTTTGTTTTTCTGTCTCACTTCAAACATCCAGCAAGGAGTGAAATTCATTGTGTGTGTGTGTGTATATGTATATACATATGTGTCCTACTGTTAAAAGAATTTTCCCACTTGATTGTTTTTTAAAAAAAAAACAAAACAAAACATGAACGGGATTAAGGATTGTTCTAAAGATGAAAGCGGTATAGTGGAGTACTTGCTCTCCTAATTGTTAAGGTTGGATGACCCTAAAATTTGCTTTTAAAAAAATAATTGTACTATTTGAGATGACATTTTAAAAAGGAAATAGTAAGCTAGAATTGAGAGCAAATATGGACTGCTTCTTACATGTGATGTAAGGTTCATAAAGATCGAGGACCTTTTGCTAAGATCAGTTAGACATGATTTGAATACAGCAGGCAAAATGCTTTCCAAGTTAGCAAGTTCAAAAAAAAAAACCCACAAAATCAAACCAAAGAAAAAAACCAAATGAACAAACAGTAAAATGAAGTCCATGTACAAAGATGTTTTTCTTCAAGCACTCTCCTCACTTTCCACTGAGAGAAAATTTGCAGATGAGGAGGGGGGTTTTGAGTGAAGGACACAGGACAGATTGCAAGGGTGAAGTGCTAAGAACTACTGGAGGTGGAGTAAGGAAAAAGAGCATGATCCTTTTTCTCTATGGTTATTATCTTGAAATTTATTTTACTTGCAAGCTGGAATGCTGGAGTGGGTGGATGAGAATAGGGAGAATCAAGTTTTCATTGTTATCTATATGTTTTTTGAGCCATATATAGCACAAGGAAGAAAAACAGTCTGAGGACTGCTGGTGTCGAAGGTGAACCATGCAATATTAAATGCTAAACTTAATATCATGGCTAGGTAAGCGTAACTCTTCATACACGGAAAATGCAGTGGCCTTAGAACAGAACCTGCATGCTAACACTGCAAAAGAATGACCACTTCATGCTTTCCATGCAAATTGATGGGAAGTTGAGGAGAAGGGAGGATCTTTGCAGAATTCCATAGCGCTCTGTGGCTGAGTGGAGGTAGACATAAAGTTGTACTTCCTGATGGATGATGGAGAAATTTTCCTTTCCTGCATACGAAAGGGGCTTTATCACTTAGAAATTTTCTTTAAGATCTTGCTTCAGCATTTGTTACCAGGCTAAATTTTACATCTGTTTGGCTCTTACATACAGAATTCCATCTTTATTATGCTTACTGAGCCTGTAGCCCTCGGATTGCTTTCGTAATCCACTTCGTTGCTGACGATTCCTGTGAAGTGGAGGTAGTGTGTGATATTCCTTACCTGAAGGGTACAGACAGTCTCAAGCTATCCATCCAGCTCTTGCATCAAAACAGCAGCTCTGTTACAATGTTCCCGTCAATCTCACCTTAGTCAGCACAGCTACACCTAACAGAATGTAGTTAGTGAAAGCAAAGATTTCTAAGTGGCTCTGTGCCAGTTTAGAGAGCAGGAAGTTACAGAAGTGAGTTAACTTATTTGTATTGTTTTTTGCAGAGTGCATGTTGCTGATTTTAAAGGGTTTGAAACAGCACAGGAAAATTGTACCTGCGTTAGGAATACTTGTTGCTGAACTTACACTAGATCCTCCTTGACACTGACTTAAATCAACTCCACTGTTTCTAGGTTGTTTTAATATTGTGGGATATCCGACTAGTAAACGTGAAACTTAATTCTGAAGATTATTTTTCTTTGAATGGGTGAGCATTTATTGATGTGTTCAATGGTATTTCAAAGCTTCGAATGTTGACTTCAAAGAGAGTATATGTGAGAACGTAAATAAACACACGCAGACTTCTATACTTCATGTTTTCTTCCCACTTCCAATATAGTGGTTGGTACTTACCATGGCTCCCCAGACCAGGCCCATCAAGTGGCGGGTAACCACCAGCAACCTCCCCAGCAGAATACTGGATTTCCACGTAACAGTCAGCCTTATTATAACAGTCGAGGAGTGTCTCGTGGTGGATCACGTGGAGCTCGTGGCTTAATGAATGGTTATAGGGGACCGGCAAATGGATTTAGAGGTAAACAGGTTTATTAAACTCTCTCATTTGACTTTTAATTACTTCTTTCTGAAAACACTGTGTCAAGATACCAAGTGTTAAACTGACTTACGGTTGTTTTTATACTGTAGTAGTATCTCTGTAAGATATTTAAACTTGTAAAATTCTTTTTGCTTTAGCTATCTTAAGCAACTGACATTCTAGGTATTTGGTTAGGCTTCCTACTAGGATGTAAACAAAGCAGCATTTTTTTCTGTTCTGTGCTGAAGGCTTAGTGTTAGTTTGATTAGGCATCTGTTGCAAGTATAAGCAAACACAGTAACATCCACCAAAATTTCACAACTATGAAGTGAGGAATTCAGATGCCAATTGGTATTTCAAAAAGGTTTTTTATTTCCAGTTAATGGTAGAAGCAGTGTATTTTAGAGTTCCATGTTTCATTATACTGAGAATAGGCTGGATAATGTAGGAATCAAGAACAAAATAGTCTAAAAGTCATTACTCTGAAGGTATTAACAGGAGCAGAGGAATGATACTCTAGTTTTGGTTAAATGAGAGAACTTTCATAACTCCTGGAGATTATTACACGTGGTTGTCAATGTTATGAAGATGCGTATGTTAGAATGGGAGAGACGGTGTCCTTATGAGGTGGTATGGGATTAGGCTAATGGATACAGAACTGTGTTCTTTTGCCATGTTCTCTTCCTCTCATGTGGTTGCAGAGTAGAGGAGAAACCTGTGTAATAAAAATACAACTGATTGTAGTAGGGAATGCAGTGGTCACTGTTTGTCTGCCAAAAACTGATCTGGATTCCAAGTGTTAGACTCTTGGGACTGGAGCCATCCTTAGACATTGTTCTCAGCGTTCAGGAGAGTCCTGGCTTAGGAGCAACTTCTTTACTTGACTTGGCTGCTGTGGCCTTGCAGGTCACAACTGTTAGATTTAGATCCTAGTATTATGTTTACCTCTGGATTGAATGTTACGTGAATCAAAATTCAAAATTATTAGAGAAATGCATTGAATTCCTCCCGGTTCTTACAAGGCCTTTATTCTTGTTTTTCCTAATCGTATTAGCACTCAGGTTGCAGACATTTGCTTGACTTGCAGGTAAACAGTAGTTACTAAAGGGGATTTTTTCCTCAGGTTTAGGTAAAATGCTGTTACTGCTTTTCTTTATGTGATAGCATAAAGTAATAGGCTGTCATTTCCTAGTGAAAGACTTGTACCCTGTTCCTTAGGAGGATATGATGGCTACCGTCCTTCCTTTTCCAACGCTCCAAACAGTGGTTACACACAGCCCCAGTTTAATGCTCCTCGGGATTATTCAAACTACCAACGGGTAAGCTACCGTTACGTTGTGACAGTCTAGAAGTAGAAGGAAAAAAGTACCTGTCAACGAGAGCACTCAAATCTATTAGTGAAAACTTTTCCGAGGACTTTTTTTTATTGCTCATGAAGACAAAACTTTCAGGTAATAAACAGATATTTAGAAATAGCAGATTATTAAATGGCTGGGTATAATTAGGAAATGCGTTCTGTTTGGCTGATTGATCTCTAAAGGAATTAGTCTAGTGACTAGAGCAAGATTATAAAGAACTGTTCTCTTAAATATAATTGTTTTAACAAATTTGTCAGAAACTTAACTTAAATCCATTGAAATTAACTTTTCAGACTTGTTTGGTATTGCCTGTCTTCTGCAATGCTGATACATTACTCTGAAATCTGCATAGAATTTTGTTGTTCAGAAGCAAGTATGCTGTTTGCTCAAAGCCTAGACCGACTGGAAAATACCTAACTGCATATCCTCAAACAAGTATTTATAAGCAAATGAGATGACAGATTTTGATCCTGCCATTAGAATGTTGCTTCATTTGTTGACAGGTCCTTCAGCAAATTTGTCTGTTTGACCTCTGTGTAGTTTGAAAAATTCAAAGACTGAATACATCTCCTTAAATTTATTTATATTGAACAACACATCCTGTAACTGGAGAGAGAATTTTTATTTGCGTATTGTGTTACACCTGCTAGGTGCTAATAGGTGTAAGAATTTATTTTTCTAAGATTAATTTAAACTAATAAAATGCTATATATTGCAGTCACAGGTGATTTTTCAGTGTTTATTGTTTTAAAAAGTCCTTATTTTATTGGTAATTAATAGCTTCCTGAAGCACAATAAAATGCCCAGGTTTTATGTCGTAACTTTTTTTTGTTTCTTTGCTTCAGGATGGATATCAACAGAATTTCAAACGTGGCTCTGGACAAAGTGGACCTCGGGGAGCTCCTAGAGGTAATTCCTGAGTAGTGAATGATTGTTTTGGGCTTTATAGAAGTTTTTTGTCCAGCTTCTGGAATATTGGATTTTAAAAGTGACCTGATTCCTTATTCAGCAGGTCTCAATTGAAGAATAAGCTTACTTTCCTCTGACCTCACAGCTGACCCTGCTTTTTGAACAGGGATTGAACTTGGAGGACCTCTTGAGATCCCTTCTGACTTGAATTATACTGTGATGCTTTGAACTTGTGGTGGAAGTTTAGTTGGCTGTTGAATGAAAATAAGCTAAATAATTCGGAAATAAGCTAAAACAACAATTGTTTTTGACGCTTTAAATGTAGCAGAACTACTTAGTTACTTTTTATTAATGAAAGCCTTAGGAAAGCTTTTTTTTTTTCTGCGAGATTTATCCTGACTTAAGATCTGTTTACTAAGTACATTAGTAGTTTGCAAGTAAGACTCGCTTATGAAGCAGTCATCGGGCTTGAGCTCGTTGTCAGCTTCCAGAATTGTATGTTACTCTGTTATGCTAAAAAGACGTCCTACTGCATCTCTTGTGGAGGTATCTTTTGATCTAAGGATACAGAACTTCATTTTCTTGATCCTATAGAATTGTTGCTTTTAGCTTATGGAGTTATGTTGTCCTGTAGCTTCGTATGAGTGTTTCCCACATTTTCACCTGAGAAAAGAAAACAAAACACCCCATGTATATAATGAGACTGTAGTTGAACTTCTACATTTTATTTTCAACACTATTCCCACAGTTCTTTTTTTAGTAGATTTTTGGTGATGAGACTATGTTCTGTCGTGATGTAGATGTTTCCATGAGAACCCTGAGTTATCACCAGAGCACCTTGTCAGTGAGGACAGCTCGAAGCTGTACATTGCACTGTCTGTGAAACAACAGCTCCGTGTGGTAGTTCTGTTTTGAAGAATTCTGCCCTTGACCTACTGAAAGCCCTGTAGTGTGGAACTGTGGCCCAAAATTCAACATAGTATTAGGCTGTGGTGAAACTGGGAGCATGTTTTAGGAAGCCCAACTATAATCAAAGGAGAATCTTGGAGTTCGCTGCCAGGGATATGCAGGCAAAAATGAGAGGGATTCCCCAAGTGACCTCCAATCCTCGTATACTGAGAGTGTGAGCTACAAGGCAGTCTCTTTGTTAACGAAGGAAGAAGAGAATGGAAGTTAAAACATGATTAGCTAGCTCAGGGTATTTATATTTAAATACAGTAAACCAATTCTTCCTTAAATTACTGCAAAACTTTTAATTTTAATTTTAATCTTACATTCATATCTTCATGACATGTAATTTTTTTTTTCATTTTTACTTAAATGATTACCACTTTGTAGTCTTGGGGGAAAAAAGTATTGGGATAAAGCTGAAAACTGTAAATACAGGTTACGTGCTGTTGAGTTTTGATTTGAAGGAACTTTTAGAACCATATATAGTCTAGATACACACCTGGGAATTCTTACCTGGTTTAGACCAGAGCTTTTAGAAATTTTTTTAAAATAACCTGACTTCATGCATTATTCAAGTGCCTTTTTATATGTTTTCTAGGTCGTGGAGGGCCCCCAAGACCAAACAGAGGGATGCCTCAAATGAATGCTCAGCAAGTGAATTAAAACAAATTCACAGGATTGCATTAAACGCCAAAAACACACTGGCCAGTGTACTATACATGTTACCAGAAGAGTTATTATCTATTTGTTCTCCCTTACAGGAAGTTTGTTGTAAAGGGACTATTTTCATTACCCATAATGACAGGACTACAGTTGCCAGCTTTATATTACCTGGATATGGAAAGGAACGAAACGACGTTTACTCTGCATGTTCTCTCCTAAGCATCATCTTGAGCCTTGCACATGAGATTCAGATTCCTCACCCTTGCTAAGAGTAAAGAAAAAAAAGCAATTTTCAGGGTGATCCTATCTCTCCATGGTTTAATGAAGTGGCAGGAAAAAGCAAAGACTCACTTCTGACTTTTAAAAGTGATGTAACAAATTTGGATAAAATCTGCAAATTCGTTCAGATTTACTGTGATGGCAGTTGACAAAACCTAATGTTCCCTTGAAAGGATGGAAAAGGTGAAGTGTGGCTTGGTAGAGCAACTGCATTTCAGCTTTTTCTTACTAAATTGAAGCACTGAACAGTTAAAGATGCGTAGTGATGCATATTTCCCTAAATAGACAAATAGGCTTATAGCCAGTTTTTGACAAAGAAGCAGCACCCTTAGCTACAGCACTCCTCATCACCAGGGCCCTGTTTACTGTGGCTAAGGATTTAAAATCGCTTGCATAACTGCTAATGTAATTGTGGGTTTTTTTTAAAAAAAAAAAAGAAAAAATAAAAAGCTTTGATTTGGCACTTGAACAAAATTTTGCAACAAACATGAGATATAATCTGGATGGCCACTGTATATTTGATGTGAAGTATTTAGGTATCTCTTTGAAACACTTTTAAGTTTCTTTGATAGCAATGACTTTTGTAAGGATTGGTATTCTCTATCATTCCTTATGACCTGCACATTGTCTGTCACTAATACTTGACCTTGCTGTATTATCACCTAAATAACTGATGCCGGTACTGATGGAAATCTCTAATGGATAATCATAACACTTTTGGCCCATGTCTTTTTGTCTTTCCTGCAGCCTTGAAGGTTTTAAGAAATCTCAAATGCCCGCTGCTGCTGCCCTTTTAATTGCTATCTTTTGAAAAGCACCAGTATGTGTTTGAGTTGATTTCCCCTTTTAAGGGAAATGACAGCCAGCAGTTACAGTTCTAATGGTATAAGCAAGACAAATAAAACATGTTTATAAAAATTGTATCCTGGAACACTGGTTTTCAACGACTGAAACAAATTTAATGTAATGGGGTGACATTTCATAAGGTGGTTGGTTGTTGTGTTGTTTTTTTCTCCTGGTAGATTGCCTTTTTTTTTCCTGAATAGATTCAAACCCTCCTCCTGGTTTTCTGATTTTATTCTGATAGCTGTGACTTCTTCTGGGAAGCTTTTTCCTTTTTATGGACTTTCCTTTTCATCAAGGCAGCAATGTCTAGAAGAAGTGGCGTAAGACTAGGAGCTGGAAAATACCAAGTCTTATTCAAGTTTTACTGCATACTTTTGGTGTAATCTTCAGAAAATCACTTGTGCCTAACTTTTGCGCACATGCACTCTCTCTGCAGTGGGGAGAATATATTTATATTGATAGCTGCCTCCATAGAGGTGTTGGTAGTTCTGTTGCGTTCTATAGCACATGCGAGAAGAAAAGTGCTATATTCATTAAGTATTGCTCATCAAATAATTCCTACCTGTGGAAAGGTGAAGTTAAGGAACAGCCACATGTTGTTTAACTGTTCTATACAGAACTGAAGGTCGTTTTCACTCAAAGGGTCATTTCTATTTTGTATCGCAATTGAACTTTCAGGACCTTTAGTCAGGTATTTTGACTTTGTTGTGAAATAATCTGAAACTCCATATAAGCAGGTGGTAATATCGCTTTTCCATGTTCTGTGTGAAGAGCACAAATGAGAAATGTTTTTACTGAGAGAACTGATAAGCTTGTGAAGAAGATATTACACACCAGACATCTTGAAACGATGCTCATGGCTAGAAGCAGCAATTTTGGTTTAGGCCTAGAAACATTCCATACCAGTATAACAATATAAACTGCAGTCCGGTGAGAAGTTGCTGTTATGTGTCTTTTTTTAGGAAGCTATTAGCAAGATTATAGTCCCAACTGTTTTTTAACTGGAAAAAATAAAAAGACAAACCTTTTAATGTTGAACTGATGTAGGAAAAGGGTGAATTCTTTTTACTTCGTTTTATTGTGCATCAGCTTAATGGTTGGTAGAACACAAGCTATTCAGCTTTTTCCGTTGCACACCAGATGCTTCTTCAATTGCTAACTGTAGTTTGACAGTAAACTTGCAGCATACTGAATTAAAGACCACTGAATGGATCAGAACATTCCACTTTAGATTTTGGTGGTTTGTTAGTTGTTTTTTTAAAAAAACTTAAATTTGTTAATAAAACATTGGGTAGTTGAGAGGCCTCTTAATTGAGATCCAACTTTGTAAACCTTTTCATGTATGAAAATGGTCTTTAGAGTAGCTGCTCTACTGTATGCTGATAGAGGGAGATATGTTATAACAACTGTCAAACAAGTACCTAAGATGTGTTTGATCTGGGAATTTGCACTGACTCCTTTAATCTCAATACATGTGTCTAATAAACAGTATACTGAAAAATTGGCTTGAGTCACAGTATGGCACATAGGTCCACTGACTGTTTTTCTGGCCTGTTCAGGGGAGCTTTTAAATATCTTCACTCTGTAACTGAGCTCTAGATCTGGGTTACATCCGGATCACGAGCACTCCCAGATGTTCACTTTTGAGCAAAGACTGTTACAAGAAGTGATGATATTGAGGCAAAACAGTGGCAGTTCTGGGCTGGTTCTGTTACAGAGCCCGTTCTGGGTGCCAGGGGCGAGCTGCATTTATTCTAGTTAGGTGCTGCTGTAGGGTAACTCAGGCCTGATGCCTGTCGTTGGGAAGCATGAGCAGCCATAACAAAGTGCTACTTCTGAGCCTGTGTGTAGACACATCAGTTGCACTCCTTGGTGATTTTACTTGATTCTTCTGTGAATCGATCTTTTTGGAGCATAACAGACTAGTTATGACTGCTGCCTTGCATATAGAACTACTATGAGGAGATACAGATTTTTTTTTTTTTTTGGTAGGGGCTTGATTATCTAATATTGCTAGGCTGTGGTATGTGTTTGAGAACAAACTTACAGCTTCAGCATCTTATTTCCTCTTGGCTGAAATACAAGGAATCTTGAGTAAATAATTTATAAATCACTTGAGTTTCCAGATGTTTCTACCTAATGTTACTGTGCTTGGGAAAGTTGGATCCTTCTTAGACATCGTACAACTTACATATTTAACTTTGAAATCATGAGTTATTGTCTCATACATAAGGTCAATTTTGTCCTACTTTTTACTTCTATATTCTCCCTGTATACAGGTTGTCTTTTTAAGAACAGTTCACAAATGCACCTCTTGAATTTTGCTGTGGAGGGAGTTCTGGACTTCAGTTAACCTCTGTTTTCTTTCCAAGATACTGTCTTTGTGTGTAGCAATCTCTAAAGCGTAACATCGTCCAGAGTAGTAGGAAGAGTAACGTTGACGTCTTGTTAATAGCCAGTTAATGTATTCTGCTGGGACTATATAACTCGCAGAGAACTTCATGACCTTAAAAAAATGTGTCTTCTCAAAATGTCCTGCTGGCCATATTTAGACAGGCGTATTCTTTGATTGGGTTGCAGTTTACCTTCATGTGTGTCTTTGGAGAATGAATCGAGCTTCCTTCTTTCCTCCAGATAGCATTTGAGTAACTACTTTAGAGAGAGCAAAGTTACTGAAAAGGCTCTGACTCTAGACAAATATTGAAAAGATGATGAATGACATGGAAGAAGTGGTTGAACTTCATATGATGGAAAGCAATAGGGCAAAACCTTTGTGATCCAGCAGAGTTTAAATACAAAACCAATCGGCCAGAAAAAAATCTTGATCCTCCTGTTCTTTTTTTGAAGTTCTGGCATTGCTGAAGATGAGTAGTTGACTTTTTTACCTCTTCTTTGCAAGAACTATTCATTCTAAATGCACATCTGAGATACAAGCGTTTGGGCTCAGTGGACAAAATTGTGCTGTATTCTTCAGTTTTCTTCCATTCCGCATCTCCTGTGGATGCAAAGGGACATGAGAACACTGCTTATTAACCACCCATTAATGAGGCTGCTGGTCATATCTAGAAAAATTAAAGATCCCTCTTGCTCATGTGAAACTCTTCTTGATTAAAGTGTATGCAAAGTATCAAAACAGTTGAAGATACAAATTTATAGCTGGAGTTGAGGTTTGTGACTATATGAAGTAGACTGTATATTTTAGTCTTTCAAATCTATCCACGTGTTTTTACGGTATTCCATCCACGTTGAATATGGATGGGACTTGAAAGGTTTTAATTGCTTGAGCTGGCACCAGCTAAGTTCTGCAGATGGGTTGGGTAGGTGTTCTTCACCACTGATGGACCGAAACATCGGTGCCTCATCTGAAGAGCGAGCAAGCAAGAAATGATCCCAAACAAATAAAACTTTCCTTTTGAATCTTAGAAAAAAGATTATTTCTTTATTTACATCTGGGTTTAAACATAGTCCGATTATTGTCTGGAACTTTACTGGAAACTCAAACATTGCAAAATTGTGTCGTTTCCTTCTAATTCTAATTTTCTCTAAATGGCAAAATTTGCTAAAATTTCTTTGTTCCATCACAAAATCGGCCTCTGAGTGTTTGATTGGTCTCATCTTGACTCTTCTAGTGAGTGACAGAACTGAACAGAAGGAGCTTTGATGTGAAATTTGGGAAAATTCCATTATTTAACATTAGATTAGCATACCTGATAGTCATGAAGAAGGCTAATTGCTTAAACTGTTACGCTTTCTGTTTGGCCAATTTGTTTTTCCACGTGGAGGGAGATGAGGAAGGTCCTTCCGACTTCCTGGTTTGCAAATACTGCTTGCTTTTACATGGAAATTTTTTTCATCCCAGTCTGTGAATTTTCCAAGAGAAAAAGCTCCATGCTTTTGAGAACTGCTGCACCTTGTTGCTTAGGGTTTGAGGTTGTATTCAAATTGCCTGAAGTTAAAGAGAAAAAAACCATGCAGTAGTAGACTTAATGTCTCTTCCTCTGTGTGAAAGCAAGCCCCTGACCCTCACACGCTTCTGTGAAAACTTCATAGCGATGTCTTGGATTTCTGCGTCTTTCTGCAGCATTTCAGAATTGTTGAACTTTTGGTGTCGTATGGCAGTCTCTGATGAGAAACTGATTTTTTTAAATGGTTTCTCTAAGGGAAGAGGTGCTATTCTATTAACCACTTTTGTAGGTTTTTTTGAGTGTAATGCAATTAAAATTGCTTGTGACTCTGTAGCTCTGGTCTTCATGGAGGGAAGGAAATCTGTTTTCCAGAATCCACATCATAAAGCCAATTTGAGCAGTGCTGAAAAGAACTGTATTAGGAAAGCTTCAGCCTAACTTGACACTTTGTTCCGAATTAAATTTATCTGTGTTAGCTCTTGCTGCAGTTATTAACTCGTTAATTTTAAAAGCTAGGTTCCATTCCGCCCCCCCCCCCCCACTTTTTAACGTTCATAAAATAACCGGGTGGATATAACTAGCTCAGTTCCAACCGTGGTGGCCAATTTCTCCTTTCTATAAAATGTGCTCAAGTACCCAGTAGTGGATCAAAAGTACATGTGAGATTTTGGTATAAATATAAATTTTAGTAATTATCC